CAAAGATGCCATATCTTGGAGCCCCGGGGAAGACTGAAGGAGATAAAATGGCTTTGATTTAAGGGGACAGGAAATGACACCATAATGATCTCCAGGATTTCAGAGGCGAATTTTGCCATTTTTATCAAGGGAATGGGCAAAACCGACGTAACTCAAAGTGCTGATTATCTCCCCTCGTGGATTAGGTAAAGGTAGTAACTTCTGGGAGCAGAGAGACAAATTGAAGCAAGTTTTAGGAGAAAATGATTGGGCTGTTCTCATTTAGAATCATCTCTCCCTTTTCCCAGTCTGACCCCCACAGAAATGCAAATAGAAATTGCCTGGCAGTTCTTCCTAATCAATCTGCCTCTCCAGGTGGTAAATCCTCCCTGGCCTTCTGCTTCCTTAGCTCTTCTAGGGCTAGAACAAGACAGATTCTCTGCTTTGCGCCGCCTCCATTTGCGACACCTCTGGGAATTAGAGTCTTACAGATTCGCCACTAGGAGAGTGTGTAGTGCCCAAATACAATCCCACCAATCTTAAATTGAATTGTTTCTCGGTGAAAAAAGCGGCTTATTAAGAGCCATGCTATTTCACTCGATTCCAGCTCATCAGAAATAATTCAATAAGGGTGTTCTCTTCACCAAGCAGCTGCAGAAATGCTCTGGCCCAGGAAGACAGACAAAGATGTCTTGGTTTGTGAAGTCAGGGAAACTTCCTCCAAGTCATCACTCATTATAATTCATCATGTTGACCCGTCTGATGTCAGCCCTACCTGCAGGATGATGTCCCACTCTGTCAGGCCACCTCTCTCTGTGTCATGCCAGGTTAATGACTGCCACACGAGAGCCACTTGAGCTGTATGTACTTCATTCATTCGTTTTTTCAACAGATCAAGAGAAGGTCTACTCTGAGCCAGGCATGGGTGCTAACCCCATGGAGTATAATAAAAAAACAAGACAGTCATGGCCTGTGGCCTCACAGAGGTTAAAGTGCACAGGGGACATTGGAATTAACAGATAATTGTGGAGATGATAAGAAAGGAAATGAACAGGCATTGTGAGAGATGATAATTAGAGGAGGCAAAACGGGGCATAGTTGTGCACACCTGTAATCCCAGCTACTCAGGAGACTGAGGCAGGAGGATCA